CACAGGGTGCGGTACAGGGGGGTTGTGCTGCGGGGGACACTGGGGGGGAGCACCGCGAGTGATCGGGACCGGGAACCGGGGGGAGGGGACACCAGATTGGGGGCAGGTGGCGGACACGGGGGGAGAAGTGGGGAGGGACGCGCGGCCGACCTGTATGAGCGCCCGGTACTCCTCGCGCAGCCGCTCGGCCCATCCCTCGCGGTCCCGCGGCCCCGCCGGCGCCTTGAGCAGCGGCAGCTCCGCCACCGCCCGCCTCGCCGCCGCCTCCGCCGCCGCCATGGCCGGGCCGCGCCGCCATGGCGCCCCGCCCCGCCGGAAGTGACGTGAACCGCCATCTTGGCTAAGGGCACGCATGGCCGCCGCCATGTTTGGTACTGGCGGGGTTGTGGAGGTTCTGCTGGCCTTGTGCCCCCCCCTCCCCTCACAACAGCGTCTCCACCCCTACAGAAACCCCCCTTACAGAATCAGGGATCCCCCTGCAGCCCAAGGAGCCTCTCCCGAGTGCCAGGCGCCGCGGGTGGGCAGATGCTGCCATGTTGGCTGAGGGCACGTTCGTGACGTGGCGCCGCCGCCGCCATGTTTAGTGCTGGCACGGAGGAGTTTGAGGGGGCTCAGGTGGGGTCGTGCCCCCTCTCCCCAAAAATACCCTCCCGGAGGGGGGTCCCACCGCCCCAAGGACATCCCCCCCCATCACCAGAGACCCCCCCCAGTCCCACTGACAGCCCCTCCCAGCAGCAGGGACCCCCCACCCCAGAACCAGGGACCCCCTGGTTTTATTGGGGGTCCAATCCCACCACAACAGGCTCAGGGTTTTATTGGGGGGTCCAATCCCACCCCAACAGACTCAGGGTTTTATTGGGGGTCCGTTGCCCGAAGGGCTCAGGGATGTTTTTGAGGGGACCATTTATGAGCTCAGGGTTTTGTTGGGGGTCCCACAGCAGGCTCAGGGATGTCCCTGGGGGTCCGTCCCTGGTGGTCTCAGCCCTCAGGGCTGCCCCTCGCTCTTGCCCAGGTCCAGCAGGGACGAGAAGAGCCCCAGGACGTTGCTCTTCAGCTCCTGTGCCAACGGTGCCAGCTGCTTGTTGGCCCTGTCCAGGTACTGCCTGCGGGACAGGAGGCTGTGAGCAGGGCTAGGAGGGTCCTGAGCCCCCCAACTCCCCCAGGGAAGGGGAGTCTGGGGGCTGGGAAGGGCAGGAATGGGGATCCAGGGGGTCCCAGGGTCCAGGAGAGGGGGTTTAGGGGGATCCAATGCCCAGAAATGGGGGGGCAGGGGGGGTCCTGATGCCCAGGGCAGTGTGATCAGGGCGGTCCTGGGGGTGGATATTTGAGATGGGGCCCTGGGGATGGGGATGGATATTTGGGGGTGAATATTTGGGATGGGGCCCTGGGGATGGATATTTGGGATGGGGTCCTGGGGGTGGATATTTGGGATGGGGCCCTGGGGGTGGATGTTTGGGATGGGGTCCTGGGGGTGGATATTTGGGATGGGGCCCTGGGGGTGGATATTTGGGATGGGGTCCTGGGGGTCGATATTTGGGATGGGGTCCTGGGGGTGGATGTTTGGGATGGGGCCCTGGGGGTGGATATTTGGGATGGACCCCCCGTACTCGGCCTGGCTGCGCAGCTGCTCCGCCTGCAGCTTCTGGGGCAGCTCCTGGGTGAAGAAGTCGCTCAGGGTCTGGAAGTGGCGGCTGAAGAAGTCGGGGGTGGCCTCGGGGGTGGCCTCCTCGGGGGTCTCGGGGGCGTCCCGGCGCACCAGGCAGGCCCCGAGGTGGGCACAGAGCAGGAGCAGGGCGGCGGCGACCAGGGGGGCTCTCATGGCTGGGGAGGGGGGGACGGGGCTGGGACGTGGTGGGGGAGGAGCCCCCAAACCCCCCCGGCCTGGCCCACCCCGGCCTGGCCCCACGGGAGGTTTCAGCTCCCCCATCCCACCCCATTCCTGACCCACACCCCCCCCCATCTCCAGCCCCATTTTCTGCTGGAAACTCCCCTCCAGTCCCGATCCCACCCCCATATCACCCCACCCCACCTCCATATCACCCCACTCCTAACCCCACACCCCCCTGCCGTCCCCCCCCCAGCCCCTCTCACCTGTTCAGGTGCGGGTTCAGTCCGGGGGTCGCCCCTGGGCCCCGTTTTTATCCCCCCGCAGCCCCCGCCCCCCCGGGCTGGGCAAACACTGCGGGGCCGAGGGGGCACTGCGGGGGGGCCCCTTGTCCCCTGTCCCCCCCCTCCCCGAGGCTGTCCCCGTGTCCCCAAGGGCAGGGCGGGGCGGGGGAGGGACGCGGTGGCCCCGCGGGTTTGGGCTGGGGGGCGAAGGTCGGCGCCCACCGTGTCAGTGACCCTCGATCCCCCCGTGGGGGGACAGCGGGGACACCCACGCTGGGGACAAAGGGCGGGTGGTGGCACCGGCGACAAGAGGGCGGAGTCCCCCCCCGGGCACCGAGGGGCCCTGCCGGGACGGGGGTGGGGGGGAAAAGGGGACAGGGATGGGGACAAGGGACAGGGACACGGGGAAGGTCCTGCGTGGGGCTGGTGGCGGAGGGGATGCGGGGAGGGGACGTGGCGGAACACGGCCAGGAGCGGACGGGGAGGTGGGGAGGGGACAGGGGGACACGAGGGGAGCAGGGATGCGGGGGTGACATGGGACAGGAGTGGGTTTTGGGACAGCAGTGGGTTTTGGGACAGGGGGTGGGTTCAGATAGGCAGGGGGAGGAGAGGGGGGGACACGGAATGCGTGGAGGGGACGCGGGGGGGACACAGCGGGAGCAGCACACGCGGTGGGAGCGGGGACAGGCAGGAATTGGGGACACTCGTGACACGCCGGGGGGAGTGGGGGGGGGGCTAGGCCGGAACGCGGAAGCTCCGGAACATCTCCACGCACGGCCGCGCGTCCCGCGGGGGGTCCCATTCCACGGGTGCGCCGTTCCCCCCGCTCTGCCAATGGCGGGGCCCGCTCTGCCCGAGCCCAAGATGGCGCCGGTGCCCCCCTGAAGCCGCTCCGGGCGGCGCCGCCCGCGGCCGCCATGGCGGCGGGCGGGGGGGGCCCGTAGGGGCCATGGGCAACGCGGAGGGTCGGGCCCCGCGGCGGGGGGAGCCCCGCGGCACCCCCGGCAGCTTCGATGAGCTCCACAGACTCTGCAAAGGTGCGCCCCGAGCCAACGGGGAGGGGGCGCGGGGGAGGGGGGCACCGGGACTGGGGGGGCACCGGGGAGGAGGGACACCGGGGGGGTGGCAGCTGTGACCCGCGGGGGGCTGCGGTGTCCCCAGGGGGGGCTCGGGGTGTCCCCGGGAGGTGACAGCTGTGTCCGGGTGGGGTGCTGTGGGTGCCCCGGGGGGTGACAGCCCTGCCCCGGGGGGTGACAGCCGTGTCCCCAGGGAGGTGACAGCCCTGTCCCCCCAGAGGTGTTCCCGCCGCAGATGGAGGGGGTGAAGCTGATCGTCACCAAGACCCTGAGCAGCCACTTCCAGGTCAGAGGAAGGGGGGGGACACAGGGACTGTGGAGGGGGGGGCTGTGACACCCCCCCTCCCCCGGGCTGTCCCCTGACACCCTCCTGTCCCCACAGGTGACACACACGGTGCACATGAGCACCCTGGGCCCCTCCGGGTACCGCTTCAATGCCACCTTCGTGGGGGACCGGCAGCTCAGCCCCACCGAGGTGACAGCGTGGGTGGCACCGGGGGGGCAGGGGGGGGTCCTGGGGTCCTTGGTGGCTTGGGGTGGCCCCAGGTGACCCCGGGGTGGTTGGTGACCCCCATAACCTGGGTGACCCTGGGGGTCTTGGGTGACAGGTGGGCTCAGGGTGGCTTTGGGGTCATCGGTGGCTTTGGGGTCATTGGTGGCTTTGGGGTCATTGGTGGCCTCAGAGTGGCGAGTGACCCCAGGACCCGCCTGGTCTTTGGTTTGGGTGACAAAGAGGTGCCACCAGCCCAGATGGGGATGTTCCCTCCCAGCCAGGCCCTAAGGGGGGGGGGGATGTCCCCGTCCCCCCTGACCCCCCCCACCCCGTGGTGTCCCCAGGTGTTCCCCACCCTGGTGGGGGACATGGACAGCGCCGGCAGCCTCAACGCGCAGGCCCTTCATCTGCTGGGGGAGCGGCTGCGCCTCAAAGCCGTGTTCCAGGTGAGCCTGGGGGTCACTCCCCACCTGGGGGGGGGGGGTCTCCAGCAGCCCCTCTCCACGCTGTGTCCCCCCCCTTTCCCATGCAGACCCACCAGGCCAAGTTTGTGACGTGGCAGTTCGACGGCGAGTACCGCGGCGACGACTGCACGGCCACGCTCACGCTGGGCAACCCCGACGTGCTGGGCGGCTCCGGTGAGCTCTGGGGGGGCTCCCCCTGCCCCTTCCCCGGCACCCCGAGGGCCCCCCCCCCGCCCCGCTGAGCCCGGGCTGTCCCCGTGCTGTCCCCGCAGTGATCGTGGTGGCCCATTTCCTGCAGAGCGTCACGGCCCGCCTGGTGCTGGGCGGGGAGCTCGTGTACCACCGGCGCCCCGGCGAGGAGGGGGCCATCCTCACGCTGGCGGGCAAGTACACGGGTAAGGGGGCACCCCGGGGGTGGGGAGGGCACCCCCTGTCCCTTCTGTGTGTCCCCCACCCCACCACGTGCCATGTGTTTCTGTTGCAGCCCCCAAGTGGGTGACGACGCTGAACGTGGGCTACGGGGGGGCCCACGCCAGCTACTACCACCGGGCCAACGAGCAGGTGGGTGGCCCCCCACCACCCTCCCCAGGGTGTCCCCATGCCCCTCCTGACCCCGCTGACCCCCCCCCCAAAAAAAAAAGGTGCAGGTGGGGGTGGAGCTGGAGGCCAACACGAGGCTGCAGGAGACAACCTTCGCCTTCGGGTACCAGCTCAACCTGCCCCGCGCCAACGTCGTCTTCAGAGGTGGGCAAAGCCCCCCCCACCCCAGCCCCAGGCTGTGCCCCTCACCCTGTGCCCCCTCACCTGGTCCTCCCCCTCCTCACCCCCAACCCCTGCAGGGCTCCTGGACAGCAATTGGAGCGTGGGGGGGGTGCTGGAGAAGAAGTTGCCCCCCCTGCCCGTCACCCTGGCCCTGGGCGCCTTCCTGAACCACTGGAGGAACCGATTCCACTGCGGCTTCAGCGTCACCGTGGGCTGAGGCCACGGGGGGCACGGGGGGCACGGGGGGCACGGGGCACTGTCCTGCTCAGGGAGGCTCCAGGCCTGGCCCCGGGGGGGCTGCAGGGACACCCCGGCCTGGGGACGCCGTGTGACAGCGCTGGGGGGGCGCGGTGGCTGCTGGGGGGCCCCGCTGTCCCCGCTGCCACCGCGGGCTGAGGGTCCCCAAGGCAGGGGGGGTTCATCCCCCCGTGCCAGCCCGCCTGTGCCTCAGTGTCCCCCCCCCCTGCAGCGACACACACGGGCTGGCTCCGGGGTCTGGATAAATAAAGGAGCTTTACTCTGTCCCCCGTGGTGGCCCTTGGGGACCTCGGGGCGGGGGGGTGGGGGAGTGTCAGCTGATGATCTCGGAGAGCAGGGGGGTCATGGCCGACAGGTCCTGGATGTGCAGGATCTGCCTCGTGTTCTCCACCTTCAGCGTCTGCAGCTCCGTCAGCAGCAGCAGCAGCTTCGCATACAGGAACCTGAGCAGGGCGGGGGGGACACATCACAAACCTGCTGGCTTGTCCCCCCCACCTCAGGGGACGCTGCCCCCCCCTCCCCGCGCCCCCACCTGCCCTCGGGGTGCCGGTGGTCGATGTAGCTCTTGAGGGTCAGGGCCACCTTCTCCTGGAACTGGTCGATGCGGTCGCGCTCGGCGATGTCGGCGTGGTCTGTGGGGGGTCAGGGGGAGTCAGACCCCCGGGGGGGTGGGGACACCCAGCTGTCCCCTGTGCCCCCCCCCCAGAGCGGTGCCCACCTGGGGAGAAGAGCAGCATGGCCTGCAGCAGGGCGTACTCGGCCTCGTGCAGGCGCAGCCGCCTCAGGCTCTCGTGGAACTTGAGCAGCGGCTCCAGATAGACCTGCTGGAACCCAGCTGGGTGTGGGGGCACACGGGGGGTGACATAGTGACCCCGGGGGGGGAAGGGGGGCACAGGGATGTCCCCAAATCCCCCCCCCCGGGGGTCCCTACCCAGGGCGCCGTCGCGGATGGTGTAGCAGTGCTGGCCGCACTCCCACGCCTTGGTGGTGGCGTTGAAGACGGTGTTGAAGCGGATCTGGCAGATCCCCAGCGTGGCCCCCTTCAGCAGCGAGATTTGGGCCTCGATGGGCAGACTCCTGGGTGGGTGGGTGGGGGGCACG